ATTCTCAAGCCAACTCTTAGTCATAATCAGTTTAACAGCTGCTCAACAGGTGGATAATCTGACAAACAGGTCATTTGCCATATGCAGGGTAGTTTCATTCAAAGCCAGTCCTGTGAGGGCTTTAGATTCAAGGAGGCTTGTTCTAAAATGACAATATTTAGGATCTGAAGGTGCTCTAATCTAGGTTTTTTAAGCAATACTCTAGAAATAGAAATCAGGGAAATCCTATTAGACATTCCAATATCCTATTGTCTCTTACCTCCCAACAGCATTCTTACCTGCAGAGAAGTACATCTAACAGTACACATTTCTTCCTCACAACTACGTTTTTGGTCTTTTCCTTGTGGCAACTCATTTCTTGGATGATTTTTTTTTTGTCTCTTATTCATCACAGAGTCAGCTCCAGGTCATCCTACTTATGCCTCTGCCTCTATTGTTGTTCAGTCATTTCAGTCATGTCTGACTCTTAATGACCCATTTGGGGTTTTCTTGGCAAAGATACTGGAGTGGTTTGCCATTTCCTTCTCCAGCTCATTTTCCAGATGAGGAAACTAAGGAAAGGAGGGTTAAATGACTTGGCCAGGGGCACACAGCTACCAAGTGTCTAAGGCCAGAATTGAATTGATGAAGATAACTTTTCCAGACTCCAGGCCTGGCGCTCTACCTACTGTGTCACATAGCTGCCCTTCTGCCTCTATGCAGAACCATCTCTAATGCATCCCAGACATCTGTCCTGAGAAATAACCTTCCTTTCCTCTGACATCTCTGGGAAATGAAGCTCTATCAATGCCATATTTAACCATGCTGGAATTACTCATATGGTCAGGAAGTTCTTTCTTATATCTAACCTAACTTCTCCCTGCTATAATTATAGCTCATTTCCTCTTTTTTCAGGCTTTACTATAGAGAAAGAACAGCACGTACTACCTGCCACAGAATCTCTGCAACTGACGTTAGGGTACTAATAAAGGCCATCCACAATCCTCTCTCCAGTCCTTTAATCTGCACTTCTTGTTTGCCATCTTTTTCCTTCTCATTTTCATTATTTTCAATGTTCAGGATTCTTACAGTTCCCCACATTCCTAAAAAGCTATGGAAATATAAATTGATGAAATTGCCACATCCAGGAGCCTGCACACACAGGACCGGTCCTAGGAAAAGCAATGAAAAAACTGAAACCTAACCTCAGTGCCCTCAGCTCCTCTGTCAATTTTCCCATCCTCCCTCCTCACCAGTCTATATCCCCAAATACCCAGGACTCTGCCCATAGAATCTAGAGCTAAAAGGGACCACGAGTGAAAACTCAAGGTTTTCCTTTTTATAGATGAGCAAACTAATGAGCCCAGAGGCAGTGACTTGGCCAAAGTCACACAGGTAGTACCAGAAGAGCAAGAATTTAAACCCACCTCCTCTCGAAACTCTAATACTTTCCCCACTGTGCCACAATGTATCTTTCAACCTTGCCCCAGCCTTCACTGTCAGAACAAAAATAGAAACAGAAAAGTATGTTGCATGGCAAGATTTGGGTTCAAATCAGTTCTCTACTTACCTGCATGACTTCAGGCAAATCACTGTACCTCTCTGCTCAGTAATCACATCTATAAACATGTGGAAGTTACAAAAAAATATCTAAGGTTCTTTCCAGTTCTAGATTCTATGATATTCTAAGAAGGGAGAATTATTGCTAACTCAATTATAAATGAGAATAGTTTAATGAGCTACCCTTCTCAGAGGTCCCTGCATTTTAGGAGAATATCTGGAGAAGGCAATGCTTAAGGAAATTAATCTACCTGGTCTTGGCCATGCATGTCTGTAATCTACTACTGGAGATGCTGAGGTTGGTGGATTGCTTAGAGTTCTAAACTGCAGTAAGGCTAAGCTAATCAGGGGTCATTCCTTAGTCTAGTGCCAATATAGTGAGCTCCCAGGAGGGGTGGGTCACCAGAGTACCTAAAGAGAAATAAACAGATTCAAGTTTTAAAAAAAAGAAAGGCAAAAAAGTCCAGTAGTAGGATGGAGAAGAAAGAAAGAAAGAAAGAAAGAAAGAAAGAAAGAAAGAAAGAAAGAAAGAAAGAAAGAAAGAAAGAAAGAAAGAAAGAAAGAAAGAAAGAAAGAAAGAAAGAAAGAAAGAGAGAGAAGAGAAAAGAGAGAGAGAGAGAGAGAAAGAGAGAGAGGAGAGAGAGAGAGAGAGAGGAGAGAGAGGAGAGGAGAGAGAGAGAGAGAGGAGAGGAGAGGAGAGGAGAGGAGAGAGAGGAGAGGAGAGGAGAGGAGAGAGAGGAGAGGAGAGAGAGGAGAGGAGAGGAGAGGAGAGGAGAGAGGAGAGAGAGAGAGAGAGGAGAGAAGAGGGAGGGAGGAGAGAGAGAGAGAGAGAGAAGAGGAGAGGAAGGAAGAGGAAGGAAGGAAGAAAAACAAAAAAACAAAGAAACAAAGAGGTGAGGAAGGGAGGGAGGGAGGGCTCTAACAGCAGCTGTGATATTCTGAGCAAGAGAACGCTGACAAATATGTTTTCAGTGCACCTCAAATCACAGAATATAGGCAATTATTTACTTAACCTGGTCAAAATTCCTTACATCTTTTCCTGGAAGAAGATGGGATTGCCTCCATTTTTGTTCTCCATGCTTTATAGTTAAGGGCGCTAGGTGGCGCAGTGGCTGGAGAGCCAGGCCTGGAGTCAGGAGAACCTCAGTTCAAATCTGGCCTCAGGCACTCACTAGCTGTATGGCCTTGGGCAAATTGCTTAATCTTGTTTGCCTCAGTTTCCTTATCTGTAAAATGAGCTGGAAAAGGAAATGGGAAATCACTCCAATACCTTTACTAAGAAAACCCCAAATGGGGTCATGGAGAGTTGGACACAACTGAAACGACTCAATAACATATAATCAAGTCTCAGTTATCCTCATTAATGAAGGGAAATGTGGCATGAAAAATCTAAAATCTTTTTTTTTCAGTTGCCTTTTTATTAATTTTGTAAGTAAACTGACCCTTTATTCATGTTTGAGTGATGCTAATAGTTTTCTTGATCTGAATACATAAAAGCTCATGATAGTAGAAGGCTGCCCAGAAGCATGCTAGTCACAGGGGCAAGTGAGCCTTAGAAAACACAAATCTGCCCCCAAATTTAGAAAACTGGAAAATGTCCATATTAAAAAAAAATCCTCGAAGGCCACAGGAAACAGATGTTGCTACTCTAGTCCTTATAACCCTTTCAGTATTACTTTACTTTTACTTTGGGGGAATGTATGATTTCATGGGTGTGGATATTCTTTACATAAAGACAAAAAGAAACCTTTGGATCCTTCACATCCTTTACTATTCTGGACATACCTTTCTCTCATTTTACTAGTACTTTGAACAGCCAGAATGGTACACTGGTGATGGGGATCTGGGCCCCAGAAAGGAAAAACCCTGGACTTTCCCACATGGCCAAATCTTGGTGTTCACCTGAGGCTATTATCCCATCAACTGGCCTTTCGTTGTGGCTACACCCAATCTCCCAGTTCTGCTACCTTTAACCTAGTCTGGCCTTCCTTTGTTTTACCTCCCTATGTATGGCCCCATGCCATTTCCCACCCTTAATCCTAGCTAGGCTCCATTCTCCCTAGGCCCAGGATCCAGGTCCCAGAAGTTCTGTTCACCCCACCTTACTGGCCACTCCTAGGTCCCTCCTAATCTTTCTGTATATGAGGTCTACCTCGTCTCCATTAAGAGGCTTAGATTCTTAAAATCTAGCCATGGGCTTTGATTCTTATAATCTAGCCACTGCTTACCCATGTTCAGACTCCTTAAGAGTCTGCCCAATATAATGGATGTTCTAATAAACCTTGTCTTTGGTTGAAAGAAGGCTTGAGTCAAATTCTTTCGGACAGGATCTGCGTGTTATGATTTTGGCATCCCAGCACCCCTGAGCCCCTAAACCGCATCACTGGGATCTCTCTCTATGGTATCTCATTTTTGCTATGTGACTGACCTGCCTCCCTTTCCAGGCCTACTCATCATCAATATCATGTTTTATGCCACTTTTCAAACGCACATTGTCATTAGTAACAAGTGACAGACTGCTTATAACTTCATGAATATTTTCACTACCCTGTGGGTTTGTAATTTACATTTGCAATTTTATTTTTCCCCATTTCCCATCATGTTAATTCAATTCACAAAATACATATTCAGTTTAAAACTCCTCTGCCTGCCATTCCAAATACCTCATAACAGCTCTGATCATCTACCTACACAATTACCTTTCATCCTCAAATTCAATCACAGGATTCTCCTCATTATTTCCTACACTACTTGGGACTATTGCTAATGCTATCCTCTCAAACTAAAATGGCTATCTCCCCTCTTCTCTACCTATCCAAATATTAATCATCCTTTAAGGTTCAGCTCAAGTACCTGCTGCAAGAAAAGAATCTGAATCCCAGTTCTGCCACTTACAACCTGTATAACCTTGGACAAGTCACCTAACCTGCCTAGGACTCAGTTTCTTCATCTATAAAATGGTGTTGGACTAGCTGACCTCTAAGGTCCCTTTAAATTCTAGAGCTATAAGCCTATGATCCTAGTGATCTAATCCTAGTCAAAATCCCCTGCATCTTTAGGTAGAAGACAACGAAGAACTTCCTCCTTGTTTCCCAAGGCTATATAGTCAAGCCTCAAGAACTGTTCTCAAGTATCATCTACAACAAGAAACACATAAGTTTAAATCCCTGTTCTGTTCACCAACAGCCCTTTTACTACACAGTTCAGTACCTGATTATAGATTACCCATATTGTTCCATGTGTTTTTATCTTGTCTCTGCAACCAGAGGTGAGTTCCTTGAGGTGATGGACCATATCATACCTCTCCAGTATCTATTACAGTCCCCTAGTTGAATGCCCAGTGTACTGTAAGAGTGCCATAACTATTAATTGGTGAATGCAAAGTCTTCCTCCACCCTTGTAGAATCCCTACGCCACCCCCTCTCTTCCAACACAAATACCCAAATATGGGTAGAACTTACCTCTCCTCCCGAACCCGGGGGCTCAGGAACCGGCTTGAATCATCCTCATGGCTGCTCTGTTGACTGCTCTGCTGACTGCTGAGGGGAGAGACACACAGATAGACACAAGCAGTCAGAGGTCTGCTCAGCTCAGTGTAGCTCTTGCCTTAGAACTGGACACATTGAATGTAATCAACAGACTGGAAAAGGGAAATTTTTAAAAATTCAATTCCTTCTGAATTTAGCCACTCAAATGCAAATGGGACAGTGGTATACTGATAGGCAGTGCTTAGCACAGTGCCTAGCATACGGCAGGCAATTAATAAATGCTTACTGACTTACTGATAATGCACATGCCAAATGACCCAATAGAAATCCAATCCACTGCACACACCCTCCTGTCCTCTGCCTTTGTGGTTTTGGGGACAGGTTCATATTCTGCCACACTAAGTAAATATTCTCCATATGCCTCAGTTTCCCTATAGGTGATACAAAATCATAATCTCTATTTCACCTCTCTCCTATACATAAATGCACAACACTAGATGCGGAACTCAGGCAATCCCAGGGCTAAAAGAATGGCACAGGGACCATTTTGTGTATTCCCCTGCATTCAAAAAAAAGGTTATGCCGTTCTTAAATTAGGTAAGGGCAAATGAGAAAAAGCATCTCTCCTACATTTAAAAATTTCTAAGAATGCAATTTTGTAATCTCGTCCCCTCTTTTTAGCAAATCTTAAACTCACAAAATTCTTCCAGATAACTAATTTTTATCCTATGTTGCAATTCAGTTACAATTTGATGATCTCTGAAGTTCCTTCCAGATTTAAATTTATTATCCTATTAACTCTCCAATTGGCCTCACTAAAAATGAAGCTCTTGCCAGTCTCTTCATTATAAGAATCCACTATATAATTGATAACACTTATTTATTTATTCCAAACAAATATAATATACAAACATCTTAAACCAGTAAGATCCACCACAGCAAATACCATCACAATAGAAGTATCTAGACAAAAAAAAATTGTCCCAGTGTCCTGGTAGATTACCATTGGTGCTTTTGTTTGTGAAACTCAGCTAATTCCTTACAAAATATTCTGTATAACACATATTCAAGTGTCTGTTCACCTCTGGTCATACTCTATCAGAAAAGCAAGTGATTGTTTCAACACAGGTCAGAAAGTAACTATTAAGCTATTCTCTTCTGCAACCAAGTCCCTTCACTTCAATTATTTTACCCATTTCTATCAGAGAAAATCTTAGAGGCAGGTAGTAGCTCAGTGGTTAGAGCACTGGGCTTGGAGTCAGGAAGACCTGAGTTTAAATCCAGACATACCTAGCTCTGTGACCCTGGGCAGGTTACTTAACCTCTGACTGCCTGACAAAATGGATCCACTGGAGAAAGAAATTGCAAACCACTCCAATATTTTTTCCAAGAAAACCCCAAATAGGATCATGAAGAGTTGGACACAATTGAAATGAATGAACAACAAAAATCAGAGAAAATCTACCTGAATTTATAACCTACCTTCAGAATAATACCACACAACTCTTAACAGTCTTCCATCTTTCTCTTTGCTCTCCACTGTGCTTGAAGCACTTTTAACCTGCTAATTTACTGGCTCTCAGTAAATCATCCCTAGTCTTTGTACACTTTTCCAGCATGGCATTCATTATAACAAAATTCCTCCACAAAAGAATGTTCTGTAATATTTTACCTGTTCTATTTACCAAGCATCCACATTCACATGAGACTATAGCAAATCCCGTATTGTGCAACTTCAAAGGACAAAAAGTTCCAACTTCATTTCATTGATCTCCCATTTTAAAGCTAAAACAGGGTCGTGCACCGGAGCATGAACAGAAATGCTAAAACCACACACTATTAGGATGAGATGCCAAGGGTCTACCCTTTAGCAACGTGGTGTAGTGGCTAGAGTGCTAGACTTGGAGTTAGATAAAAAATCGTATCTTGTCTCTCAGCCTCAACTTAGTTATCTTTAAATGGTGAGAATAATAGCTGTAGTACCTACCTAAGAGGATCATTGTGAGACTCAAATGAGGTAACGGATATAAACTTTTTTTCAAACCTTATTACTATAACTTACTATTGTTATTACTAACTGAATTGGTAACTACTTCAAACAATCGAAAAGCCCAACATTAATTAGAGTGTTGTGATTTTGGTCTCTAAAGATGTGTGGTTAGGTTCAGTTTGCTCCTTTCCAGGGATATCCTTCTCTAACATACTATGGGGTCTAAGCTTTGCAGATACAGAGACCAGGAAAAGTACATTTGGCATGTAAGGTAAGCTCCTTAAACCCACTAGATGTCAGTATTGGCTACCAAACTGGGGCAAGAAACCTAAATTTTATAACAGAAGCTATATTCACTGGAAATACAAAGGTTTTATACTAAACACAAGCCAAGCCTACTGGATTACCTTCTGCACCATCCATCTACTTAGAAAATAGTATTTCTTAATAATAGTGATGATCATTTATCTTTTGTCTAACGGTTATAAATCAACTTCAAACCAAAGAACTACAGAGGAAAGAAAAAGAGAGAAAGAATGAAAGGGAAGGAAGGAAGGAAGGAAGGAAGGAAGGAAGGAAGGAAGGAAGGAAGGAAGGAAGGAAGGAAGGAAGGAAGGAAGGAAGGAAGGAAGGAAGGAAGGAAGGAAAGGAGGGAAGGAAGGAAGGAAAGGAGGGAAGGAGGGAGGGAATGAAGGAAGGAATGAAGGAAGGAAGAAAGGGAAGGAGGGAGTGACAGGAGGAAGGAAGGGAGGAAGGAAGGAAGGAAGGGAAGGAGTAAAGGGAGGGAGAGAATGAGGGAAGGAAGGGAAGGAGGGAGGGAGTAAAGGAAGGAAGAAAGAAAGGGAAGAAGGAAGGAAGGGAAGGAGGGAGGGAGTGAAGGAAGGAAGGAAGAAAAGAAGGGAGGAAGGAAGGGAAGGAGGGAGGGAGTAAAGGAAGGAAGAAGGAAGGAAGGAAGGAAGGAAGGAAGGAAGGAAGGAAGGAAGGAAGGAAGGAAGGAAGGAAGGAAGGAAAGGAGGGAATGAAGGAGGATTTACTGAGCATTTGTTATGCGTCAAAGAAACAAATACAAGCATGCAACAATCCCTACTCTCAAAAAGCTTACGTTCTAGTTAGGGAAGACAATACATTAAGGGAATTTAGAAAGGAAGAATGGGGATATCTGTGCTGGGATATGGTGAGAGGACAGCTTGATTTTAGCTATCATTTATGAAGTGCTTTAAAGTTTGCAAAAATTCATTACAAAACTCCCACCTTTTGTCCTCAAAACAACTTTTAAGAGGCATCACGTTATAGTACACAGTCTGCCTCAGAGTCAGGAAGACCATGGTTCAAGTCCTTCTTCTCACACATATTGGCTATATCTCCCTAGGCAAGTAACTGAACCTCACAGTGCTTGAGTCCACTAGTGTCAAACTCAAATAGAAATGGATCCTTGCAGATGGCATATTGACTTATGAAACCACAAATTAATATTAATAAAATAAATAAAAATGCCAACAACACAAACATTTCCCAATTACATCTTAATCTGGTCCATTTAACACCTTTGCTCTAAGCAATTCTTTGAGAACCTATACCCACTCGGTGATTAAGACTAGGTAAGAAATGAGGCAATGAACAGCTTCTTCAAACTGAGATCTGGGAAAGACCTTGGCTTAAAAAGGCCAAGGTCTCCCACTGCATCTGTGCCATCTCCAGTCGTACTGATCTACACCTTGCCCCTGGCCCCGATGAAATGAGGAGAAAATGAGTCTGGGGACTTTGCACAGCCCTCTCTCACTTAAATCCAGTTCACTGGCAGGTCATGACATCAGCTTCCTGATATCATGGTTCTCTTCGAGAATGGACAAACAACAACAAGGTCTCTACAAAGTCTACACTGGTAGAGGGAAAAGTTCGTGGGATCTATAAAGTCACAGGTCCAGGCCCTATTCCTATCCAATAATTCTGTGAAGTAGGGTACTATTATTAATCCCATTTCAGGTGAGAAAACAAAATCTGGAAATGAAAGAACCTGCCAATGGTCACAACAGCTGGTCAGTGGTAATGAGAATTTGACTCAAGGTCTACACTGACTCCAAATAAATATTCCCTCTACTATACCAAGTCACCTCTCTGAGAAATCCATAGGGAGTCATGGGGATTTTTCTTAATAAGGATCTCTAAAACTCTGTGGTATTTTGTAAATACCATCATCTCTTAGTCAGACAAGCATTTATTATGCACTTACTGTGTGCTAAGCCCTGGGGATACCAAGAAAGTAAAAAATGCCCTGCCCTCAAGGAGATAAACTGCAAACAACTATAACATACAAGCTATATACACAGGATAAATTGGAGATAATCACACAGAGAAGGCAGAAACATTAAGGATGACGGGGAAAGGCTTCTTTCTGAAGGCAGGATTTTAACTGAGACTCAAAGGAAGTCAGGAAAGTCAGGAGTTGGAGGTAAGAATGGAGAACATTCCAGGCATGGCGGGAATCAGTGAAAATGAACAGATCTGGGAGACGGAGTATCTTGTTCAAAGAACAGCAAGGCCAGTGTCACTAGATAACAGAGTGCTTGGAGAGGAGGAAAGTATAAGACTAGAAATGTAGGAATGGGTGAAGTTAAAGGCCAAACAGAGGATTTTATATTTGATCCTGGAGATAATAAAGCCACTGAAATCTAACAAGGTAGGAAATTATCAAGCTCCTTGTTGTTTGTCCTTCATAACTGAAGATGACCATGACATCAGGGAGGTGATGCCATGACATGCAAGTGAACTGGATTTAAGTGAGGGAGGGCTGTGCAAAGTCACCAGTCCCACTTTCTCCTCCAAGAGTCATCGGGTTCCAGTGGCAAGATATGGATCAGGATGACTGGAGATGGCTCTGGATATAGTGGGAGACCACGACCTTTTTAAGCTAAGGTCTTTAACAGGTCTCACTTTGACTGAGGCAAAATCTCATTCAGTGATTAAGGCCAGGTAAGAAATAAGGCTGAGAATAGCCTCTTTTAAATAGTCCAAAAAAAAAATCTATCTAGGAGAGGAAGAAGCTCAGGGTTTCAGGTTAAAA